GCCTTAATTTAATATAATAAGCCCGAGGGGACAAGAGAAGAGCAAGAAAAGGCCCAACCTTGATTGTTGTAGCTTCAAGCCACTCAAGCAGAGAGAAAGCCTTGTTCAAGCTTGGAGCAAATACCAATGGAAAAGGTGAAGGATCTCCGCAGCTAAACCATCGACAGGTTCTCATATAATGGGCTAGCGTCCGGTTTAATATAATGAAAAAGGGGAAGAAGCAGACCGGTATTTGGAAGATCAACCACAAGCTCTATTGATTCTCCAATCCACTGGGCAAAGACATACCCGACATACTCAGACTAAGATGTTCAGCATATCCAAATTCTTATCTATAGTCACAAATTTTTCGATTCCTGAATCTGAAACTCTCATCATTGAACCTGTCAGTTAGGGATCGAGTCATTCTTGATCACTAGTTCTCTCTTGCTCTCTGATTCTAAGGTCATGTCAAGGTTGTTTTTTTTTAGAGTCTTCGGTTGGCTGTCCGGGGACCGGCTTCGCGAGACCATTTTGATCCACACTGGAGAAGTCCTCTCTCGGGCTAGGCTCTATTGGGCGAAGGTGATCCTTTCTTTACTAGAGGAGCTGGAAAGGAAGAGGCACCAATTTAGGTGCTTGCTTCCCCTCCACCTAGAGGATCTAACACTGATGGTGACTATAGATCTGGAAGTTACTTAGATGCTGGTTATAAAAGCTACTAAATCTGTTACTCGGGACTAAAAACCAGCTCATGCCTTTCTTTGCTTCTAATGATAGAAAGGATGGGAGGGAAGGATGCGCGCCAGACAGAGGGAAAGCCCGTAGCTTCACGGGGCTGTTCTTTACTCAACATACGCAACTAAGTCTACTAAATAGACTCCTGCCTTTTCCTCTACCATATTTTAGGTTTCGTTCCGTCAGGTGCTTTAATAGCTCGATCTGGAACCAACCTATGGTACTATCTATGCCCATCATGCTATTAGGTTAACAACCGGCTATGGAGCTTGTTATGTTCCTGCCCCTGCTCTCTCTGCTGACTCTGCTGTAGGCGTCCCCTCCGAGGGTCTATCTGTTACTTAGTCAACAGGCTCTGGTCCCGGATCAACAAGGTCATCTACTGGAACTGCGCCTAGATATGCGTACACTAGAATGCTGGCACTGGAAAGGAATTGGACTATATGATGGTGGGACATTCCCCTATCCATGCCGGTCCATCCACACTTCTACTGGGTGGGATATTTTGCTATATCGGAATAGGGAAAGATACTGGGTGGAGTTGTGCTTTTCCCACCTTGGCTAGGAAGAGATGTGAGATGAGGTTCTTCAACCATTAATTTTCTTCAACTTTGAATTCCGTTCTGTCAGGGTCAAGATCAGGTGGTAGCTTATTTGCTGTTGTTGGTGCTACTGGAGGATCTGGGTCTCGCTTACTAATATCAGAATCTTTCGATCCCAAACATAAAAGTTTAGATCACTAGCATCCGGCTCTTCCTAACGATCACGAAAGACAGAACCCCAATAACTAGCACTAGGATCCCTACTTTAAGTTAATTCTAGATCTTACTCCCGATAACGAAGATCATAATCTCTATTACGAGCATCCGTAACTGCATAGCATCAGAATCTCACTATCGATCTGTAGTTGGCCAGAAGCATAGGCTAGGCACCATAGAACATGCTACAGTGCATGCCATAGCGATGATGACCACCATAGTAGTGGATAGGGATATTAGTGTTAGCCACCTTTTTCAAAAGAATTTCCAAGTCTTCCTACTCGTTGACCGATTCCGGTTGCTTCAGCTCCCGTTCCTTCACGAGCATCTACACCCACTTTGGTTCTTCCTGTTGTTTGCTTCCTGCTTGTATCATTCAACCTGTGTAAACCACTATTTAAAGTAAAGAAAGGGGTACCACTTTCATAAGCCACTGTCAACCACTGTAATAAGAGCTAAAGGACTATGAACCTTAAGATTGCATGAACAATGGATCGAGTAAATAGGAATCAAGGAGGAATCAAACCTCCCGGCCGACTAGCCTGCGTTCCAATCGATCCGCCTCCATCCTCCACTCCATCCTTCATTCTCCCTTAGAATCAATAGGAATACTCTCTGTCTTTTCACCGCTCCGTGGGTAGTCCTATGCACAGTCCACTAGAAGTGATTAAGGGTCTGCCCAGTTAGAGTTTAGTTATTTATAAAAATATTCTTATATAAGCCAAAAGGAACTCTTTTTATCTTCCAGTTCCCGGGTGGCCCACTTTCTTACTTGTTGCAACCGTCTCTCAATTGCTAAATCATCAAGGAAGTTCTCAAGGATTAGAGCGATGTCCTTTTTTTTCCAGACGTTTTCTTTCCCCCGACCTATGACTCGCTTGTTCAGTATTGCTAACTATTATAGGAGGATGTCGTCCCCTCGGGACTACCTGTAGTTTCGGTTGTTGAATCTCGTGCAAGTTAGGTTGTGCTTGTATTGGCTGCAAGCGGAACGTAGGCGCTTTAGGTAGGTGTGTGTTGACCATGCACTCTCGCGTCATGTAATGTCGTATGATATGATAGAGGTGGTGTGGTGATTGACCTCAATGCTAATGGTTATCCCCACCCCAAGGTTTAACGAATGAATGAAGCTATGATCATACCCGGATAGAAATGATGGTCTTCCTCTGATGTCTCCAAGCTGGCCATAATAGAATAGATAGGCAAAGAAGCCAATAGCAGTCTGTTTTAGCCTATCGATAGATAGTAGGTTGCTTCCAAGCTCAAACCATTTGAAACTTAATTGCTACTGTATTCTTGTTATTGATAGAGTGGTATTATCTGCCCCTGTCAAATAAAGTAGAGGGAGATAAAGAAAAATAGCAAAGGATTTACAAGTCTAATGGGAGAGGAATGGCTGACATGTTGACTGCCTTCGATAAAAATAGAACCCAAGCGGTCTAAGCCCCGGGACAGACCCCAACCGAAAGAAAGGCGCTTGACAGACTAACGACAAGCGAGATAAAGAAAGCAGCTGGCCCTATGTGTAAAACCTTGCCGCGGGAGAGTCTTTCTCCAATGAGAATCAAGCCAGTTTTTGGGCAAGACAAGAAAGGAACTCGCCGACACCACACCAAGGGATAAGAGCTGATTGCTGGCGATAACTTGGTGAAAGGAATCTATGAGAGAAGGTTCTCAAACCGGGTTCTGACCGAATAGAGCGCGGAGCCAATGAGTCTTTAAGTAAGTGGGCATTAAGCGTAACGAGTCTAAGGGCGGGATAAAGCTTTAAAGGAATGGACGGGCGTAGGCTTAATAGTGAACGTAGACCCCCCTGCTTATAGATATGAGATCAATGACTTAAAAGACAGATGCTGAGAGAAACTGTTAGACTTCTTTATTGCGTTGCAAAGAGAGATCGAAGACGAAGATTTTTTGACGCAGTGCGGGCACTGGATGGAATAGACAGAAAATATAACAACCCACCAGAAGGGCATACCTCACCAATCTCCCCCGGCAAACATCTATCTGCACGAAGCCGACCGGAAGAAATATGAAAAAACAAGATGCTTTGGGAGTGTGAGATACGCAAACGGGGAGTATGCAGCCGAACAACCGCAGGGGCTTCCAGCAGTGATAGCTGAACTAACCAGATGGGCCACCCAAAACATGGAGCTGACATTTAAATAAATAGGAAATCAACGTCGGATCCCGGCTATCCGAAAAACGCAAACTGAAGCGGGGGATAAAAAAAATGCAACACAAAGGGGCGAACCAAGCGCTTGCGCGAAGGAAGAAGCGAATCAACCAGAATGGAGACAGGGAGGAGAGGCGAAAGATAGATTTTAGAGCCTGCAAAAAAAAAAAGAAGCAACAACGGCTGAAAAGCCTTTGCATGCTAGCTTGTAATTGAGGGGGTAGGGATGCCCCTTTCTAAAACTTATATTTAATATAAGGAAGAATAAGGCCCTTTTTTGTTTGGAGTTTTCCCCAACCTATACCTAAGGGCTTACGTTTTTCAGCAGCATCACACTGCCGCATAAACAATGGATCCGCTGGACTAGATGGGCTTCTCTGGAAAGGAATAAGGAATAGTGAAAAGCCATATCACTTGGAACAGAACTCGTTGCTTATTTACTTTTTTTAGTAATACCACTTTGCTTTGGTAAGCCAAATTTAATCATCTTATTATTCTTAGGCATGGTAGCTTACAAGACAAAAGCTAGCTTCTAGATGTTCTTTGCCTGAACATATGGAGGAAGCAAATTTCTGGCCTCTGTACCAGTAGTGAAGTGGCTTGCTACTTAAAATAAGAAAAGGAAAATGGAGCAAGGCAAGGGAGAAATAAGTTGTCCCCTCTTCTCTGGTAACCCGCCGCCGGTCATATCGAGTGCTCCGCCCGCCACCGCATATGTAGAAAAATAGGGAGCGGGGAAGGAAGAACAATCGTTTGACTTTGGTACACGAGGTGGCGGGTTTGGCTGGATCACATAATGGAAATGTATCGGACTAAAAATCCTGGAATGACGGTTCGACCCCGTCCTTGGCCTTGGGGAGTGGTGAGCAGCACGAAACTTTCATTAATCAAATGGCATAAAGAAAATGGGGGCTTTCCTTTGTTAGAAATCCACAGACAACATTCTGGAACTTCCAAACCAAAGAAATGAAACATGATAAGTTTTACGTTACGCTTCAATAGAATGAATTCGGTAAGGGTAGAATACGCCCCATGGTCGATCGAAGGTCCTGTGCCACTTGAACTCAAATCTATCTTACCTTCCATCCATCTTTGTCCAGCCAGCCTGCTCATAAATGTTAGACTAACCAATCTCAGGGCTGACACAACCGAATTGGTTTTCCCCAGTACTCGTCATGCTTCCCCAGTACGCACCCCATTGAGTTCTCTAAAACAATCAGATACATGATTAGTGGTCTTCCCTCGACTGGTGGCATCAAGACAGGAGGCTCTTGTAAATACTCTTTGATTTTGTCGAAATCAATCTGACATTCATCATTCCACTTGACTACTTGATCTTTCTTCAACAGTTTGAAGATTGGTTCACAAGTAGAAGTTAGGTGAGAAATGAATCTGGAAATATAGTTCAGGCACCCCAAGAATGCCCTGACTTCCTTCTCAGTGCGAGGAGCATGCATTTCTTGTATTGCTTTAACCTTGGCAGGATCAACCTCGATGCCTTTGTTGTTGACAATGAAACCTAAGAGTTTACCGGACCGGACTTCGAATGTGCACTTGTTCGGGTTCAACCTTAATCTGTACTCCTTCAATCTGAGAAACAGCTTTTGCAAGTGATTAATGTGTTCTTCTTCAGTCTGTGATCAGGCTATCATGTCATCTACGTAGACCTCTATCTCATGATGTATCATATCATGAAACAAAGCTACCATGGCGCATTGATAGGTTGCCCCGACATTCTTCAGTCTGAATGGCATCACTTTGTAACAGAAGGTACCCCACTGTGTGACAAATGTAGTTTTCTCCATGTCCTCGGGTGCCATTTTGATCTGGTTATAGCCTGAGAATCCGTCCATGAAAGAAAATACTTTGTGCTGGGCTGTATTGTCAACCAGGATATCGATGTGTGGAAGTGGAAAATCATCTTTAGGGCTGGCCCTGTTTAAATCTCTATAATCCATGCACATTCTCACTTTGTCGTCCTTTTTAGGTACGGGAACAATGTTGGCCACCCATTGAGGATAAGAAGTAACAGCCAGAAATCCAGCATTGAACTGTTTCATAACTTCTGCTTTGATCTTCTCTGACATGTCAGTCTCATGCGGCGGACTTTTTGTTTCACTGGTGGATAGTCTTCTCTTGTGGGTAGACGATGTACCATGATGTCTGTATCGAGTCCTGGTATGTCTTCATATGACTAGGCAAAGATCTCAACATAATCACGAAATAGCTGAATTAGTCGTTCCTTGACACTCGGCTCTAGATTGGCACCCACTTTGATTTCCTTTTTATCTTCCTCGGTACCCAAGTTGATTGTATCCAACAACTCCTCATGAGTCTGAATAACTCTTTCCTCTTGTTGTAGTAATCTGGCCAATTCCCCCGACACCTCACAATCTTCCTCACCTTCGTATTCGGCTTGGTAGATCAGATCTTCAGAGTCACTGAAGGCTATAGCAGTATCGTTACCCATGGGATCCGGAATGGAAGGGTACCTGCATTTGTGAGTGTGGGTGTGTGTAAGGGTATAGCCATCTTAAAATAATAAAATGTAAAAGAAAGACAATGAGCACAAAAGGTTTATATATGAAAAAGCGTCCATGATTCATTGAATGTCATATGAAGATGAAATAAAAACCCTTACAAATGGACCATTGTGCCTCGAATAAGACACAAGGTTTTTTAAAGTACGAATTGTTCGTGAATATTACAAGTCCAATAGAAATGTAAAAGATAAATTACTGAGAGATGAAAGTTATCAGGACAAAGTCTCTGGCTTCCCAGTTGTGAAGTCCTCCGCTGACAGTAGGAAATATCCAATCTTCTAAGCTGCCATCCTCTTCACTGTCTTCTACTGCATTGACGCCTTGGTTGCTAATCTTCACAGGTGGCCTCCCAGGACGGGCACGGCGCATAGCCTTATGAGCAGTTGAAGTAAACCCCAAGCCAAACTTGTCTGATTTGTACGGAATATATGGAAGCTGCCCCCAGATGGTGCATCCACCCTCTTCCACTACTGCCTTTGCATCCTTTAGAGATGACATCCGAAGTGGAGGTCTTGTGATCTTAGGAATCGAGGATACCTCCTTGGTCGCCGCTACTTCTGGAGAGACTTCTTCAAAATGTTGGAAAGGGATTTCAATGAACTCGCCATCTAACTCCACATATCGGAAGTAATTCAGATGACTAATCATATACTCCTCCTCCCCATGGACAGTTATGATCTTTCCTTGAACCGGGTATTTCAGCATCTGGTGTAGCATGGAAGTGACAGCACCGACATTGTGGATCCAAGGGCGTCCTAACAGACAGGAATAAGAAGGACGAATGTCCATCACATAGAAGGTTGAATTGAAAATCTGAGTTCCCACCTTTATCGGGATGTCCACCTCCCCATGGACCATCCTCTTCGAGCCATCAAATGCTCTCATAATTATATTACTGGGTTTTAAAGTTAGCCCTTCGCAATCCAACCTGTCAAGGGCTTTTTTTGGTAAGACGTTCAAAGGTGATCCCGTATCCACCAAGACATGGGCTAGGGTTGTTCCTCTACACTCCACTGAGACATGAAATGCCTCGTTGTGTTTTCTCCCTCTGGGTGTCAAATCAGCATCAGAGAAACCCAAACCGTTATCAACTGTCAAATTGGCCACACAATCCTAGAATTGATCAGCAGACGTCTCTTGCGGCACATGAGCTGTCTTCAGAAATTTTACCAGAGCTTTTGCATGTGCTTCAGAGCACAGCAGCAGAGCTAGCATAGAGATCTTGGAAGGGGTTTTCCTCAACTGTTCAACCACATCATAATCACTCTTTTTTATTATCCTCAGGATTTTTTCCATTTCCTTCTTG